TAGAATGGATTAGTATATCATCCAAATATACAATACACATTCATGTTGGAATTCTCTAAGAACTTCATTGATCAAGTCTTGGAAGACGGCCGGGGCGTTACAAAGCCCAAACGGCATTACGGTATACTCATAATGCCCGTAACGGGTATTAAATGCTGTCATCCATTCATCTCCCTGTTTAATTCGCACTAAGTTATATGCTCCCCTTAAGTCAAGTTTAGTAAAAATACTCGACCCCTTTAGTCTGTCAAAGAGTTCAGTAATCAAAGGAATAGGGTAAGCATTTCTGATAGTAATTTTGTTCAATCCCCGATAGTCTATACAAGGACGTAAGGTACCGTCTCTCTTTTCTACAAAAAAGAAACCCGCCCCCGCCGGAGAAGAAGACTTTCTAATAAATCCTTTGTCTAAATTCTCCTTGATATATTCCTCTAAAACTAAGTTTTCCTTGGTGGATAGAGGGTATACCGTACCCCTGGGAGGCATAGTACCAGGGAAAAGTTTAATAGAACAGACATAAGACCGGTGGGGAGGTAAAGTATCCGCCTTACCCTTGTCAAATACAGATTTGAGGTCTAGATATTGTAATGGTATCTGAACGTCTGTGGATGGAGAAGTGTTAGCATAAGAGTTCACGGGGCAAACAGAAGTAACTCTCTGCAGACATTCTTTCCTACAACCCATACCCCAAGAAACGATTTCTCCACCCTCCCAGTCAATCTGAGGGTTGTGTCTCTTGAGCCAAGAATATCCTAGAACCACTGGGACTGCCGGGGAAGAAATTAACAGAAGGGAAATCAACTCTTCGTGGAAAATACCAACAGTAAGCTTAACGGGTTCAGTCTCATGGAATATTACTGGTTCAGATAAAGGTCTACCATCTATGGCCTCAACGGCCAAGGGTGTATCTCTCAATTGGAATGGGATACAATGCATATTAGCGAAAGTTTGGTCTATAAAGCTTTCTGCTGCTCCAGAATCTAATAATGCCATTGTAGTAATAAACCCCTTTTACCAAACTAGAGAGACAGGAATCAGAAGCCTATGGTCTTTTTTATTATGCATAGAGGACAGTAATGAAACACCCAAGGCCCGTCCTCTAAGGGAACTTAGGTGCGAGCGCTTCCCGGACGATTAGGGCAACTGAGACGTAGGTGACCTCTCAGCCCGCAGTATAAACAGAGACCCTCCCTTCTTCTGTACTGTCTCTCAGCCTCAGATAAGCGAGTATTACCTATTTGCATAGGTTCTGGTAGAGTAGGATTATAGGAGTCAGGGTTCTGAAATGAGGGAGCGAGTCTTACAGGAAGTCTAGTAACTCTTCCCCGAGTGTTCTGCCTCTGTCTCATGCGTTCATCTATTCTGGAAATGAAGGATACTAAATCCTCTAAATTTTCCGGAAGTTCTCTAGTGGCAATTTCATCTAGAATTTCATCAGACAACCCATTCAAGAAAACATCCATAAAAGCTTGTTCGTTCCATTTCACTTCTGCTGCCAATGATCTAAACTCTAGAGCATATTTTACAAGGGTCCTATCTTGTTGTTTAAGGCGTAACAGGGATCTGGCCGCATTAATCTTCCTCCCTGGGGGGTCAAAGGTTCTTCTAAAAGCCGTGACAAATGCAGTGTAGTTGTAGACTAAAGGATTGTCATTCTCCCAAAGGGGATTGGCCCATCTAAGTGCTTTATCTATTAGCAGGGTTATAATAAAGCCTACCTTAGCCCTGTCAGTGGGTAAGCCCGGGGTTGTAGTTCGAAATGTATACTTATCTGGTTTAAAAAACCACGACAAGCATCAGGCGAACCCCCATATCGTAATGGTGACGTGACATGGGAAGATGCGCCTACTGTGGCTACTTCCAAACCAGTACTTAGCGAGTGGCTAGCAGTGGAACGTATTTCTTCAGACTGGGTACTGGAGCGTGTCAACAAAGTTTGTAATGCTAAAGCCATTTGGTCCATTCTATGGTCCATGGCCTCAAATCTGGGGTCAGAGGACTAGCACCTGCAGGATCCATCATGGCCCTGTCGTAATGTCAGGAAACTGACAGGGATCCAATACGCAGAGTGCGCACAGAAGGAGGTACGTATACCGGACCTTAGAATGGCCGGACTAACGGAAGGACAAAGCAAGAATAGTCAAAAGGTAAGCCGAGGTCAAGGGAGCCGGAGGACAGGTAAGCGAGATACAAGCCGAGTCAAAGGAGAGGAGAGGACAACAGGACAAAAGGCAAGCAAGGGTCAAAACCGGAAACACTAGATAAAGAACGCGCTGAGTGACTAGCAAGCTAGAACCACGACAGGGCAATGAGCAGTAGTAAAGGTTTCCTTTAAATACCCTGTTACCTAAATAGAGACCACGCCCCTAAAAGGTCCGGAATAGCGGTTCCCGGCACTTAATGCAAATGCCGACGTCATGACGTAGACGCTAGCCGTCGCGTCATAAAAGGGGGAGGAGCTAGCGCGGCCGGCGCGAAAACGGCCGAAATATGCCGAAATGCTAGGGGAAGGGAGCCCCTAAGCAGAGAGGATGTCCTCCCTGGATACATCACCAACAGGTACCCTGACAGAAAGTACCCTTTGTTACCTCCCGGAAAAATTTCTCCCCTAATGTCTTGCCACCAAAATCCCTGAAAAACAAAACCACTCCTGCTCCACCAATTTCAAAGGAAAGCCCAGTTACGTTTGAACTGAAACGCGGCTCCCATCTGTGCCCCTTAGATATAAGAATGACCCACCAACCATGTCACCAAACCTGAAACGAAAGTAATTAGCGACACGGCATAGCCCCAAACACAAACCCATACGTGCATAGCCATTAAACCAAATAGACTGGCCTGAAACAGGACTTAAACCGTACTGACTCCCACCTGCCTAAACGTTTCCCTAGGTCCTCACTTAAAACCAGGTGGGGTGCCTCTGTTACCGCCATCACCTGGGAAGAATGGGTCCCAAAGTGCCTGGGATCCAAACCCAACATTGTCAAACCCCTTCGAACAAACACCTGCGGGAATTGAATCGAGACAGCACCGATCTGTCCCCTTTTACCAGTAAGCCACCCGGGATGTCCGGGCAAAGCTCCAAGTAGCATGATGCGCTTAACACCGGGCGTACCCCTGACCCCGGCCGGGAATATAGCTTTACCAAACCTCCTTTACCAGACACATTCGTTCTTGAACAACCCTACTGAATCGTTACCTTAACCGACTAAGGTTCGACAATCAAGTGTAGAACTCCCCAACACCTGCCCGAAGGCACTCACCAGTTCCCCAATCCAAATTGCCCCAAGCCTCCGAGAAGGCCACCGCAAGCAAACTCACTGCAAAAGTAGGGTAATACACCACCAGGCGTTGCGTTACCCAAGGAAACCCGCCGCCCGACACCGACATATTTCATATCTCTCCGTAAGATGTATCAATAGGGGGAAAAAGGAGTGCGTTTATGATCGACACTGGTGCTGAACATTCGGTGGTGACTAATCAAGTTGCTCCTCCATCTGGAAGAACTATTACTGTAATAGGAGCAACTGGAAGAAGTGCTGAAAAACCTGTTCTTAAAAGTCGACTCTGTATATTGGGAGGCCACGTAGTAAAACATCAATTCCTTTATATGCCTGAGTGTCCAGTCCAATTGCTGGGACGTGATATGCTATCCAAATTACAAGCGCAGATTACGCTCCTACCAAATGGAACAACATCCTTAAAGTTTAATGGACCCTCAGGTATTATGACATTGTCCGTACCAAAGGAAGAAGAGTGGCGACTTTATACAGTGTTGACTAGCCAAAACCCGAGGAGTGATGAATCCTTATTTAACATACCAGGAGTTTGGGCAGAGAACAACCCACCAGGACTGGCCCGCAATATTCCACCTATTAAAATCAAACTAAAACTTGGGGTTTATCCAGTAAGCCTGAGACAATATCATATTCCGCAGAAGGCTAAGAAGAACATCCAATCTTATCTGGATAAGTTCATACGGTATGGTATCCTAAAATTCTGTACTTCCCCCTGGAACACCCCATTGCTGCCTGTTCAAAAGCCCCGTACAGATGAGTATCGACCTGTGCAGGACTTGAGAGCAGTCAATGATGCGGTTGTTAGTATACATCCAGTCGTGCCCAATCCATATAACCTGCTTGCTTTAATTCCGGGCGGGGCTATTTACTTTACAGTCTTAGATCTCAAAGATGCCTTCTTTTGCCTCCGAATTGCCGCAGAAAGCCAATGTATCTTCGCTTTCCAATGGGAAAATGCTGTAACGGGCTCGAAACGCCAAATGACCTGGACAAGATTGCCCCAGGGGTTTAAAAATTCACCCACCCTATTTGGTTCAGCTCTAAGTCAAGATCTACTAGATTTCGAGTCTATCCCAGGAGAGTGTGTATTATTACAATATGTAGATGACTTGTTGATAGCAGCAGTTACAAAGGAAGTATGTCAGCAAGCAACGCACGATCTACTACACATTCCCTGGAAGGCAGGATACAAGGTGTCAAGAAGGAAGGCTCAGTTGTGTTTGCCAACTGTCAAATATCTGGGATTCCATATCTCTGAAGGTCAAAGAATTATGGGGCCAGAGAGAAAAGAAGCTGTGTGCCAAATACCGATACCCAGGAATAGAAGACAAGTGCGAGAATTCTTGGGGGCAGCAGGTTTCTGTAGGATATGGATTCCCAGCTACGCGATACTGGCAAAACCTCTGTATGCAGCTATCAAAGGTACAGAGCACGACCCCTTCTTATGGACTCAAGAACAGCAAACGGCATTCGAAGATGTGAAGAGGGCTTTGATGAGTGCCCCAGCATTAGGTCTACCTGACCACACACGCCATTCTACCTGTATGTACATGAGCAAAGAAGAATGGCTGTGGGAGTATTGACACAGTACTTGGGATCAT